ACCCTCAAAGGGCCACACACAGACCTCTCATCGCGGCAGAACATTAAGTTAATAAAAAAGAATAATTAATATAATGAGTTTAAATTACAGGTATGCCATTATAAAAATGATAAAGTAAGGGTATTTTAGGCATATTATTTTTTTACAGATTCATTGACACTTTTATAATAGTATAGATTGGTGGGAGACTCCTAACTGGGACATCTTTGGGATGCAACAAGTGCTTGCAAGATTTCAACACAAAAGCAATTTGCCGGTAAAAATCGGCCTTAGCAGAAAGCGCGTTTGAACTCAAACGCATTTTCATGTTCTTCAATCGGTTACCAATCTTGACCTTCAGCTTGATCATTTTGACCCTCAACCGAGATGGCCTTCTTCTCGCATCACTATCGGCTTTCTGCATAGCCTTGTAGATCAAGAATTGCGCCAAACGGTGCTTCGTTTCTTCCGGGTCTTCGTTTTCTATCTTTGAATATGCATTAGCTCTGTTGAGAAGAGCCATATGTAGAGAAGGAAAAGGAAGCAAAATATCAAGAGAAGGAAATGAAGGAGGGAAAAGTTGCTCAATTTAATGCTGAAGTTTGGTGCAGTATTTATAGTGAGGGTCTGAATTTTGGGTTCACCAAATAGTCATGTCATGTTTGCCTTTAGTTTTTTTTTTTTTTCGTGAAATAAAAAATAATGGGATTAGATTTGAATTGGGAAATTAGTTGGCCATGGGACATAGAAAATGTTGGTCAGATAGATATGAATTTCCTATTGCTTTTGTGTGGAGAACATGATGATATTGATATCAAATATATGTAGTTAGACCGTCTTCAACCGAAAAACTCATTCTCAAACTCATTTTGCAGTATTTGTCACATCAAACAGCAATTCTTCTCCAACCGATTAACTCATTCTCAAACTCAAAAGAATATTCTCGAATTATTCTCTCACATCAACTTTTGCACATTTTCAATAACACCCACATATTTAATAAGTTTTTAAATTAGACTTAATATTATCTTATATTCAATTTTAAAAAATATATAATAATAAATTATAGATTGGCAATATGTACACCTACAAAATATTGAAATACATACTTCAAATTAATTTTTTTATTTAACTTCAAAAAATGTTTTCGAAGGATCATATAAATATATTTCCAACCACTTTTTAAATTGATAATTAAATTGAGTTTCCAAAACAATATCTAATTATTACATTTCATATAAATAAAACTAAGTATCTAGAAATTCATATATATATATATATATATATATATATATATATATTATGTAGAAATCCATACCTATGCAAATTAATAGGCTTCATACCCACTATGAAATAAAAATTAGTTACATATTTTTACAACAAAATAAAAGAGAAATATCCATGGCCATTTGTAATGTGGGGTAATCTTGCAATTTTACAAAACAAATGCGTTGGTGAATAGGAAAAACGCATATTTGCGTTTATGGAGACCAATTTTTTTTTTTAAAAAAAAAACCATTTTGAGTTTGGGTTTGAGTCTCGGTTGGAGCAAATTTATTGCATAATTTGGGTTTTGAGTATCGGTTGGAGATGCTCTTAGAACTTAATTTTAGAGTTTTCAAATTATGATGATCTAAAGATATTGAGGTTTGTTTAAATCAAGACTTATTTAGATTTGTTTAAATCAAGAACTTACTGAGATTTATTTTCAGTGAAATCTTCAAAACTTTTAAAAAGTTTAAAGGTGAGATTTAGTGGTGAGATTTAACAAATATAATTTGCTAGAAATCTTAATTAAAAATATGTTAAATATCTCATGATTTTTAATATATTTTAAAATTTCAATCAACTACCTCAATGCTTTTAAAAATCTTAAAAATTTAAATTAAATTAGAATTTCTAAGATCTTGAAAATAATAAATAAATACACCTTATCTATTACCTTAGAGCATATGCAATACTTTGGATCTCGTTTTGTCTATGTAACATGTAAATTAACCGAATCTTGAATGACACGGATAAAAAAAAATATATAAAATCAACAAAATTCACTCCAATGCAAGAGATTAAATCTCTACTTGTGTCTAAAATAGTCAAGTGTAGACCGAGTCTATTTTTCTTACTGACAAATCAACAGAACCCAATCTACTTGCACTTAATGTATTTTTCTAGATTTAGTCTATTATCTAAGTGACATATAATTTTTCTATTGTTAACCCAAACTATTGTGAATGCTCTTAAGATTTCATAGTATTCGAATAAAATCAATTCGAGAAAACAATTAATTAATTAATCAATTGCGAATACAATATATAATTATCTCTACTTTCCCTAGTCATTATTGATTTTAGTATTAGAAAACACAATTATTATGTTGTGACTTGTGACTAAGCAATTGGCATTTTGGCTGCTATATCTAAACACTTGCGCAAAAAAAATGAGGCATTATCTTGTGAACATATATGCATATGATTGAATTAAAATAATCAAACAAAAGTCCATTTTGAATTCACCATTTTGCATTATCACTTGTAAATGATTTGTTTAGAACTGAATTTTGTGACTTGTGACGATGTTCGGAAGGTACAGCCTTCCCCTGAAGTCAACGCACTATCGTAGTAGGCTTTTGTGCAGAACTCAAAAGTCAAACGGGTAGAACTGGACTCTAATACCATGTAAGAAACGAGGATAAAACGGGTGCGGTCTTGTGCGGTTTCACACACGTGAAGTGCACCAAGACAGGGAAAACACATATAAAGTCAAGTGAAATTCCATCTCAAAACCAATTTGTAGAAAGATGAGTAGTCCACTAAATTTATAGATTAAACCTATTTTCCTTATATAATCGATGTGTGACAATTCACAAGTGATATTCTAACATTGCAAAACGAATTATCAAACTACAAACAGGAAAATTGTCTGCTTTCTTACCATTAATCTTTGTTATTATTATATTATTAATTATCAATGGGGCAAAAGACAAATGACAGTGGAAGCCATGCTTCCTTAGCAAAGTCAACTACGATTGACAAACTAAAATATTTTATTGCAGATAGAGCAGCCGGTTGTTTTTTATTAGAAAAAAGAGCTAATTATTTATAATTTTTATAAAAGAAAATGTAGGACAAATATAGCTTGCGTGGAGAGTAAAATGGTTTGAATATTATTTTGAGGGGCAAAACTTGAATAATTGATGGGGGGTTGTTGCAATTTGCAAAAACTTTTCATATAAATTGCTCGTTCTCGTTCATGAGACTAATATATATAAACTTTAAATTATATATGGTATGCAGGTTCATGAGAAATCTAGAGTTTCTAAATTTACTACATTTTCTCGTTCAGTTTTGGAAACTAAATCTCCATGCATTGTAGGTCATCATGCTCGAATATCTTGCCCAAATTTTCCAGATTTAACCGTGTCCCTCTCACTTCAATCATGTGAACTTTCATTCCTTAATTTAATACGAACCTTCAGAAATATCTTCTTGTCCGATTTCTTTCATTTTCTTGCTCGATTTTCTAGCTCTCTTCCTCAAAGTTTTCAACTCTCAAATCTCACAAGAATCTTCATTTTATCATGGAGTTTTATCAATACAAGGCCCGAAAGATGGGTAAACTATCAATGCGGGGCCTGAAAGATTTTTTTTTCTCAATTCGGGACCTAAATGTTATAAAACTATCAAATTAAAGACCCGAAAGGTGGGTAATCTATCAATGCGGGGCCTGAAATATTTTTTTTCTCAATTCAGGACTTAAATGTTATAAAACTATCAAATTAAGTCTAGAATTAACAAAACTCATAACACCATTAAATTTAAAGTTAAAATAAAAACAAAAGATTGGTGTTTAAATTAAAAAAAAAATATATATATATATATAACATTTAATTATTAGATTTTATTTCATATTCATTCACATTTTTAAACTATCAATGCATATGAAAGAAATTTCAATAAGCATAATAGTCAATTTAAATATAAAAATTATATTAATTATTTACTTAATATAATTACTTGCTTTATTCTTTTTAATAACAAACACAGATATTTATGAGGATAGTAATATTATAAACACTCAAGAGTACGACTGGTTATAAATTATGTAAAAATATTTGAATGAAAAAGAGAGTTAAAGAGTAGAAAAATTGATGGAAGAATGCAAAATTTTTAAAAAATGTGAATGAATATGAAAATAAAATATAATAATTAAATATTTTTTTTTAAACTCTAGATTTAATTGTGTTATGTGTTTTTTTAATTCTAGACTTAATTTGATAGTTTTATAACATTTAAGTCCCAAATTGAGAAAAATATTCTTTCAGGTCCTGTATTGATAGTTTACCCATCTTTCGGGTCTTTAATTTGATAGTTTTATAACATTTAAGTCCCGAATTGAGAAAAAAATCTTTCAGGCCCCGCATTGATAATTTACCCATCTTTCGAGCCTTGTATTGATAAAACTCCTTTTATCATCTATGCTCTTTGTTTTCTTACAAGTAAAAGAAGACATTTAAATAATATCATAACATATAGTAAGTGAATCTATACTTATATAAAAAAACATTCTATTTATTAGAATTAGTAGTAAGAAAAGTCAAAGGTAATTAATGCATTCTATTTTTATCAAGTATTTTATTTAATTATTTTAGTTAATTGTTTTATCTCATAACACCTTTTCAATACAACTTACCATGATTTTTCTATTGTGATTAAAAACCAAATTTTACGTTTAAAATATTGTGAAATTATTATTATTATTTTTATAAAGCACATATTATTTGTTAAAAAATTGTATATATATAATACATATCACAGTACCATGGTAGATGATTTAAATTTCAACCGACCAAAATGCCAATGATTTAAATTTGAACACACATATGCGTTTGACGAAATGTCTGGATGATTTAAAATTGAGCCCATAAAAAATTATTAAATTTGAACACACTAGATATTTTATGTACTTTCTATATATTTATAAATATATTGAAAGTGGTATTTAATGGCTGTTATATAAACTATTTTAATATATTTGCAATGAATAAAAGTTTGAATGAATAATCTGTAATGTTATTCATAATGTTTGTGACTTATGAGACACGAACACATAACTCCATACATATTTGCCAGAGGGTGGCTTAATAATTTTTTAGACTTAACGTTGATTAAAAGAGGTAGAAAATAGATAATAACATTATTACGTTTTAGACTTAAACGGACAAGGATGTGAAAATAACTCATTTAATATCTTTGTCCTGTGCATCGCACGGGGTACATACTAGTATCAAAATAAGGAAAACTAATATAATAAAATCTCGAATCTAATATATTTTCTTTACCTACAATTTGAAGAAAGATAATAATTAAAATCTAAATACACAATAAGAGAACAATTAAAATATTGAAAGTTAAGATGAGAAGATTTTTCTTTTCTCTACAAGCATTAATTTCATGATACTCATTTCAAGAAACACAAATATGATAAATAAATAATATTTTCGATTAATGCCAAATTATATTTTCT